GAGAGCGCTTGACCTTGTGCACAACTGCATTTTAACTATGGTGTTGGAACCTGGAATCCCGGGAGCTCCCAGCAATGGTGAATACTTCCCGAGTAATACAGTATGACGAGTGGAATGCCATAACGGTATGGTGAATAGATAATGTCACAGTAGCCAGGTTTCAGAAGATAGAGGGAGAAATTTCACCCCTCATGGAGAGGAATCCTCCATGAAACTCGCCAAAATTCACACTTAGCCATTTGCAGTAAATTTAGCCCATTATGACTGGTTTAACAAAAATGAGGTTGAAGATCTAATAGTGTAGCGCAAATCTTCTGCAGATGGGAAACTTCATCACACCTGGACAGAAAAGCAGCAGTCCTACAGGCCCCAAAAGAAACATTTCAGCATAAAACTTGCATCATTCAGAAAGAATGGTGGATTCAAAAGCAGAGAAGACCTGACAACTCTCAGACATCAATGCCATTGCCATTTCTTCAGCACTATAAAGATAATATTCAAAGTAATTATGAAGGAAACCCAAAATGATGTTTAACACTGATGAATATAAAGTGACAGATTTGTGTCAAAAATTGAGACACAACTAAACAGTTAACAAGAGTGAATTATCAAGTCTAAAAGTGATAGTTAACTTTGCCAATGTACTTGTGACAACTAAGGAAAATGCCGAGACTAGAAAGTTCAGTCATGTAGTCAAAGCAGTTAAACACTGGTGACAGTGCATTTGGAGGGGTGATTTCAAATGAAATACCACTTTGAAGATTCTCTTTATGGATGTTGAGAGAGATTTGGCTGCATGCAGCATAACAGATGTATTACCCACTGAGACATTGATTCGGTTCTGGTTATTAAGCCACAAAAACATTGTACAGCATTGAAGAGAAATGGAGTAGGACTGATCCCAAGTGTAAAGTCAGGGCACTATGAGGAAGGTGTCTGGGAGATTGAACTCAACAATCTGAAAGGAATGTAGCTATACATACAAATATCAGCGCGAGAGTTTAATCCAGGAAGCCAATGCCAGTGATATTTGAGCCTGAAGGTCAGTTGAGTCAGGATGAATTTTTATGCTGAAAATGTGTAAATGTCTGGAGCAGATTTGATGTGGGCTTTGGTGGCATTTGTTGCCCACTCCTAATTGAATGTAATGGCTTGCGTGTCTATTTCAGAGTGCAGTTAAGAAACACCCACATTGTTGTGGGTTTGCTGTCAAATGCAAGCCAGATCAACTAAAGGTGGCAGATTTCCTTCTTTAGAGGGCATTAGAAAATCAGATGAGTTTTCACTCAGAAAAAGAGAAACTAGGAGCAGTATTAGACCATTCAGTCCTTTGGGCCTGTTCCACCATTCAGCATAATCATAGCATATCTTAGTACCATATTCCTAGGCTTTTTCCTTGATGCTTTTAAAATCTCAAAATTTTTCCATCTCTTTTATGAATATATTCAGTAATAACAGTTAATATTTGTCATGGTCACCCATAGAATCACAGAATCCCTACACTGTAGATAGAGGCCATTCAGCCCATCGAATTTGTGCCAACCCTCCGAGGAGCGTTCCACCAGACCCATCCCCACCCTATCCCCATAACCCCACATTTCCCATGGCTAATCCGCCTTGGTCACTACAGGGCAATTTAACGTGGCTAGTCCACCTAACCTGCACATCTTTGGACTGTGGAAGGAAACCAGGGTGCCCGGAGGAAACCCATGCAGACACGGGAGAATGTGCAAACTCCACACAGACAGTCACCCAAGGCTGGAATCGAACCCGGATCAGGTGTAGCACTTCCTGCGGTTGCAGGGAAAAGTGCCGGGTGTGGTGGAGCTGGAGGGGAGTGTGGAGCGGACAAGGGAGTCACGGAGAGAGTTGTCCCTCCGGAAAGCAGATAAAGGTGGGGAGGGAAAGATGTCTTTGGTGGTGGGGTCGGATTGCAGATGGCGGAAGTGTCGGAGGATGATGCGTTGGATCCGGAGGTTGGTGGGGTGGTACGTGAGGACGAGGGGGATTCTTTTTTGGTTCTTATTGCGTGGACGGGGTGTGAGGGATGAGTTGCGGGAGATGTGGGAGACACGGTTGAGGGCGTTCTCGACCACCGAGGGGGGGAAGTTACGGTCCTTGAAAAACGAGGACAACTGAGATGTACGGGAGTGGAATGCCTCATCCTGGGAGCAGATGCGGCTGAGGCGAAGGAATTGGGAATAGGGGATAGCATTTTTGCAGGAAGGTGGGTGGGAGGAGGAGTATTCTAGGTAGCTGTGGGAGTCGGTGGGCTTGAAATGAATATCGGTTTCTAGGTGGTTGCCCGATATGGAGACAGAGAGGTCCAGGAAGGGGAGAGAGGTGTTAGAGATGGTCCAGGTAAACTTAAGGTTGGGGTGGAAGGTGTTAGTGAAGTGGATGAACTGTTCGAGCTCCTCGTGGGAGCACGAGGCGGCGCCGATACAGTCATCAATGTAACGGAGGAAGAGGTGGGGTTTAGGGCCGGTGTAGGTACGGAAGAGGGATTGTTCCACGTAACCTACAAAGAGGCAGGCGTAGCTTGGTACCCATGGCTACCCCCTTCGTCTGTAGGAAGTGGGAGGAATTGAAAGAGAAGTTGTTGAGTGTGAGGACGAGTTCGGCTAAGCGGATGAGGGTATCAGTGGAGGGGGACTGGTCGGGCCTGCGGGACAGGAAGAAGCGGAGGGCCTTAAGGCCATCGGCATGGGGAATGCAGGTGTAGAGGGACTGGACGTCCATGGTAAAGATGAGATGTTGGGGACCGGGGAATTGGAAGTTCTGGAGGAGGTGGAGGGCGTGGGTGGTGTCACGGACATAGGTAGGGAGTTCCTGGACCAAGGGGGAGAAAATGGAGTCTAGATAGTTGGAGATCAGTTCGGTGGGGCAGGAGCAGGCGTTTTATTGAGTAGACAATTTCATAATCAGCTTAGTCAATAGTTGTCCTTGAGAAGGTGGTCATGAGCTCCCTTGAACAACTTCAGTCCATTTGTTGCCGGTAGGGAGGGAATGAATTCCAGGATCATAACCCAGCAACACTGAAAGAATAGCAATATTTTTCCAAGTCAAGATGGTGAATGGTTTGGAGGGGAACTTGCAGGTGGTGGTGTTCCTTGTCCTGCTCCTTGTTCCTCAAGATGATAGTGGTCGTGGGTTTGGAAATGCTGTCCTTGGTGAATTTTTGCAGTGTGTCTTGCAGATTGCGCACACTGATACCACTGAGTGTCAGTGATGGAGGGATGAATATTTGTGGATGTGATGCCAGTCAAGCAAGTTGCTTTGTCCTGGATTGTGTCAAAATTCTAGAGTGTGGTTAGAACTGCATTCATCTCGTCAAGTAGGGAGTATTCCATCATACTCCTGATTTGTGCATTGTAGATTGTGAATAGGCTTTGAGCAGTCAAGAGATGAGTTACTTGCTACAGGATTCCAAATTTCTGACCTGCTCTTGTTGCCGCTGTATTTATATGGCCAGTCCTGTTCAGTTTCTGGTAACCCCCAGAATGTTAATAATGAGGTATTCAGTGAGGCCATTGAATGTCAAGGAGCAATAGTTAGATTCTCACTTATTGGAGATGATTATTGTCTGGCACCTTGCGTGTGGCGCAAATATTATTTGGACCTCTTGTGTTGCAGTGGTCATGTCCCTATCTCTTAACCAGGAGACTCGGGTTCAAGTCGCACCTGCTCCAGAGATGTATAATAAGATCTCTGAACAGGTTGATTAGATAAATGGGTTAAAAAATAATTACTTATTACTTGTCAGCCCAAACTTGGATATTATCCAGATCTAGCTATTTTCGGACATGGACTGCTTCACAATCTGAGGAGTCACAAGTTCTGTAGCGCACGTCTTACAGCAATATTGCCAGGATGTTGTCAGAGCCCATAGCTTTTATAGTATCCAGTGCTTCCAGACATTTCTAGGAGTGAATTAAGTTTGCTGAAACATCTGTGATGCTGGGGACCTCTGGAGGAGGCCAAGATGGATCATTTTACTCAGCACTTCTGGCTGAAAGTTGTTATAAATGCTTCAGCCTTTTGCACTGATGTTCTGGGCTTCACCATTGCTGAGGATGGGAATATTTGTGGAGCTGTCTCCTTTAATGAGTTGTTAGATTGTCCATCACTAGTCACGACTGAATATAGAAAGACTGCAAAGCTTAGATTTTACCTAGGTAGACAAACAAGAGGCTAGAAGAACACAGCAAGCCAGACAGCATCTGGAGGAAAGGAGCAGTCAACATTTCGGGTATTACCCTTCTTAATGTTGACTGTGAGTCCTGAAGAAGGGTAATACCGGAAAAGTTGACTTCTCCTTCCTTCCAAATGCTGCCTGGCTTGCTGTGTTCTTCCAGCCTCCTGTTTGTCTACCTTGGATTCCAGCATCTGCAGATTTTTTGGAATTGCTTAGTGTAGTCAAGTACTTGCTGTTTATGTAGTTTGGTATATAAGTAGTCCTCTTTTATCACTTCACCAGGTTAACACCTCATTTTTTAGTATGCCTTGTGCTGCTGTACACTTCATTGAAGTTGGCTTGATGGTAATGGTAGAGTGGAAGATATCCCGGGCTTTGAGGTTACACATTGTGTTGGAGTACAATTCTGCTGCTGGTGAGAACTTACAGTGCCTCATGGATGCCCAGTTTTAATTTGCTAGATGTGTCTGAAGTCTGTCCCATTTAATATGGGTGTTAATGCCACACAGCATGATGTAGGGTATTCTGAATGTGAGACAGGCCTTCAAAAGGCCTGAACAGTCAATTGAATCTACTTTAACGGAATAAAAAGTTTGGCAAAATAATTTAAATAGCCCTGGATTTATGTTTGGATCACTGAAATATGTTTGCTTTTATATAGAGATTTGGATACCAATTTCACAATTCCTGTTTAGCTGCTGTGTGGCAATAGATTTTCTAAAATTACGCTCAGATTTACATTAAGTAAACAGTGTATGACTAACTTTATAATTCAGATGCCACCCTAATTGTACTAATACAGGTGAAAAGAAGACAATGTCCACAGCATCAGCTGCAGGAAGCCAACAGATCTACTCACAAGGAGGTTCATTCCAGCCTGGGCGAACGGGACAAACGTTCAGGTAAATTTATGAGCATCACGGCTTCATAGCAAGACTGGATGGTATTTATTTTCATGCAAGGAGTCTTACAAGTAAGGCTGATGAATTAAGGGTGCTGATTAATACATGGGGATATGAAGTTATTGCTGATGCAGAGACAAGTTTGAGGGAGGGACAGGACTGACAGTTCAATTCCTTTGTGTGTCCAACTGTCTTTCTCTCTCTTTGGGCTCTTTCCTGTCGTTTACTCCCTACCCCACCGACCTCCGTATTTTCTGCATGTAAACTGACGTTTTCCCAACCACCATCAGTTCTGAGGAAGGGCCACCTGACCCAAAAAGTTAACTCTGTTTTTTCCTTCACAGGTGCTGCCAGACCTGCTGAGCTTTTCCAGCAACTTTGTTTTTGTTCCTGTCAGTTCAGTACTCTGGGTTGAGGAACCTCCAGGCAAAATGATAGCAGAGGTGTAAAAGATCAGGTTCTGTCCTAATATTGGTCAACAAGTCAAATACGGCAGTATGGAGGGGCAATATCTTAGAAGGTATCTCAAACGAGGCCATATGGGTCGAACTTAAAAACAAAGGGGGGGCAATCACTTTGCTGGAGGGTTTACTATGTTCCCTCAAGCAGTCAAGGAGAGATGGTTAGGCATATATAGGCAAATCTCAGAGAAGTGTAAAAATAGTAGGGTAATATTAGGAAAGGATTTCAAGTTCCCCAATAGGGGCAAGAAAATAACCATGGAAAGAGTAGGGCCCATGAAGGGCCAAAGTGGCAATCTGTGAATGAAGCTGGAAGCTACAGCTGAGATTTAAATGAATACTTTGTGTCTGTATTCACTATAGAGAAGGACAATATAGTTTTGGAAATCAGGGAGGGGACTGTGATATATTTGCATAAGTTAGCGTTGACAGAGCGGAGGTATTTGTGATTTTCACAGGCCTGAAAGTGGATAAGTGCTCACACCCAGTTTCAATGAATCCAAGGCTGCTGTGGAAAGTAAAGGAGAAGATTGCCGGATCTCTGACATTAATTCTGAAATCCGTTCTGGCCACAGGAGGGGTACCAAAGCACCGGATGACATCTAATGTGGTACTTTTATTCAAGAAGTGTTGTAGGGGTAAACTAAGAAACTGCAGGCCAAGTGAGTCTAATATCAGTGGTAGGGAAACTATTGGAAAAAGTTCTGAGGTACATAATGTATCTCCATTTGAAGAGGCAAGGATTAATCAAGGATTGTCAGCATAGCTTTGACAGGCAAAGATCATTTAAAGTTTTTGAGAAGATTTGTAGCTCGGGTTGTGGATGAGGTTGTAGACTTGCTCGCTGAGCCGGTGTGTTTGATTGCAGACGTTTCATCACCCTGCAAGGTAACATCGTCAGTGCGCCTCCGGTGAAGCATTGGTGTTCTTTCCCGCTTATTATATATATGCCTCAGTTTGCTGGGGTGGATGGCATTACTTCCGGTTCTGTTTTTCGGTGGTTTGTATATCAGGTCCAGTTTGATGTGTTTGTTGACTGAGTTCAGGCTGGAATACCAGGCCTCCATTGATTCCCTGCTATGTCTCTGTTTGACGTGTGCTATTATGGATACGTTATCCTAGTCAAATTCGTGTCCTTCTTTGTCCGTGTGTATTGAGACCAGTGAGGAAGACACGACCAGTTCTGCCTGTCCCTCCACCTACCTTTCTATCAACAGCTGCAAATGTCTGGATAAGTGAGGGAAGAATGTACCAAACATCACCCTCATGCTGATGGCCACCTTCATGTGTAGCTGCATCAAGTTGTGTGTAGACCCTTGATATGCAAACACCAAGTGTCACTACGTACTGAGGTTCTAACTGTCCCAGGTTTTGCGAATGATGGGACAGGCCTTGGCACCGCGGAATACTCCAAGTAGTTGGACCTTTCCATATCACCTTTCCTTTATGGAGAAATTTACAAAGAAAAACAACTTTGACTACAAGTCCATCAGGAAGTGGTCAGCACATAGCAATCTTGAGACCTTGTAGGAAAAGGAGAGGATGGATTCTGTTGGGTAATTCCCTGAGCAGACTGTCAGAGTCATTTGACAGAATGCCTCATCACCAGAACTTTCCAACAAGCACCAAAACATTGCTTGGCCGGTGGTGTGAAGAGCACTACCTATGAGACCCTTCATGTACGCCTGGTCTCTCTGCGACACCACACACTGCCCTTGAAGCAGCTTTGGGAGTGTAGAGTATGTCACACATCTCCTGCTGGAATGTACCTTTGTGAAGGAAGTCTGGAGAGAGAAGCAGTTGTTCTTGTTGAGGTTCCTCCACAGCTGCTCCATGATGTAGGACTGTATGCTTCTGCGGTTTGTTCCCCAGGACACACACCAAGACAAACATTGACTGTGCCTGGAGGACCATCAACACGGTGAAAGATGCTGTTTGATCTGCCCAAAATTTGTTGATCTTCCAGAGCAAGGAGTTGGCCTCGACCGAGTGTTGCTGAATGGCACATTTCAAGGTCCAGGACTATATGCTGCGGGACGTTCTAAAACTTGGGGCAGCTGCCGCCAAAGCACAGTGGTGAAAGACCACCATCTGAGGTCTTACTCCCAAAGTTCAGTTAACAGACCCACCTGGTGCCTCAAATGTATGTAAATATTCCCATGTGTAAGGAAGAAATGTCTTGGGTTTGTTTGTTCTCCATATGAAGGGCTATACAGAATCGAACTGCCCTAGTGACTATGTATATCAAGATACTTTATAAATAAAGTATATATTTGAAATTTTTTAAGAAATGTTAGTGTAGTGTACATGGACTTGAGAAAGGCTTTTGAGAAGGTTTTGCATTGGCAGGCTATTTTAAGGAATTAAGAGCCTATGGGTTCCAGGGCAATTTGACAAATTAGATCCAAAATATGGCAGGAAACAGAGGGTGAAGGTTGAAGAGTGTTTTCTGACTGGAAACCTGTGGTCTCACCCTGAAAAACATAACGCATGGATGAGGTGTGTTCTTACAAATACAATTTATATTTGGGATGTTTTGAGGAAGCCTTTCTTCGCTGTTTGAATTATCAAGTGCTGGATGATGTGTTGCAAGAAAGAAGAGCATTTCCTTATTTCAGTGTAGATCTGGTAGGCAATTTTGGAATAAGTTGTAAACACTTCTAAAAATTCAATAGCTGACCAATGACCTTGCCAGTCTTCAGATTATTTTCAGTTTGGAACAAAAAGAGATTGCATATTGATTGAATTATATTTTTCTGTAATGTAGAAGTCAGTTATGGTAGTAAATTCATTATTGAAATTTTCATCACAATTCACCTGTAAACACCATCTTCCCTCAACCTCCTATATCTTTTAAATACAGTGGACATAAATAGTAATTATTTCTCAACTGGCCTTATTGATGTTTAGAATATTATTTCAAAATTGATAGTTCCAAAGCTGCTTATGTCCTAACATACACTAAGCCCCACTTACCCATTTCTGACTTGCTTAATGATTACATCAGTTCCCTTCTGGTCACTTTAAAATTCTCAAAATTGTTTTCCAATCCCTGTATATGCATCATTCTCCCAAATTGATTCCACACCTAAAGCCCTCCAAAATCTCTGTTCTTGTCCGTATCTAGCTTCTTGTGTATTTCTAACTTTAACTCTTCATCATTGGTGACAAGAGGGTTGGTTAGCTCAGTTGGCTGGATGGCTGGTTTGTGATACAGAGTAATGTCAACAGCAATGGTTCAATTCCTGTACTGGCTGAGGTTACCACAAAGGACTTTGCTTCACAGCCTCTCCCCTCACCTAAGGTAGGGGGACCATCAGGTTAAACCAACCCCAGCCATCACTGTCTAATGAGACAGTAGGGCTGTGGAAACTTTATCCTTCCTTCAATTTTTACCTTTATCTTTACCTTCAGTTGACAAGGCTTAAGCATGAGAAGTTTGAATTCCCTTCATAAATCTGTCTACCTCTTACAATATCCTTCTTCAACACACTCCTTAAAACCTACTGCTTCAAGGCTTTTCTCAACTGACTTAATATTTCCTTATGTGATATGATGTCAAATTTTGTCTGATAACACTCCTGTGCAGTACTTTCAGATGTTATATTGAATTAAAAACACTGTGTAAATGAATATTGTTGAGGATATGGTTGGTTGTTTGGTAACTGATTTGTAATCTTGTCTATTCAGCACGTCAATGGTACCTGGTGGAAACATCATTCAGCAAACATCCTCAGCAGGCCAGATTTTAGCCCAGATATCTCGCCAATCAAATGCGAACCAGGTCTCTGCAACATCCTGGACTGGGAGTCGACCACCTTTCCCGGGGCAGGTGCTGTATGACAGTTTTGATGGATTAATTTTAAATAGTTGGTTTCTGAACAACAACCTAGGATCTACAGTTGATGATTTATACTGAAACCTCTATTATGTTTAATTTATTATCACATAATTTGTAGATTGTTTTTAAATTGTGAATTATGGGTTTACTTTCTTATAGTGAATTCTGGTCCAACGTTACTACTAATCATGCTGTTAATAAAACTAAATGCCCTGACTTTCTGCCAGATGTATGCTGTGTTCTAGATCATTGCAGCACTTCAGCCCAGGTTTGCAAAAAGAAAGCACTGTCACCACAACTTAAACTTCAATGCATAAGTATCATTTTTTGAGATATTTTCTCACTTGTTGATTCATGTACTGGGAGATGGATGTTCACTTTGCAGTCATTCAAGTAAACTTTGTTCTCAAGGTGTGCGTAACGTTGGCAAGATTGCATTTTACTGCCATCGCTAAGAGTCAACCACGTAGAATGTAAAGGTCACAATGAATTGATAGGAGCAGATTATCTCCCCCGAGGGACATCAGTATGATAATGCAACACCCTTCTATTAAAGTACAATGAGGAGTGAGTTTGAATTTGGTTCATGAAGCAACAGTCAGAATATTTATTTATTCCTGTACAGATTCCTTGACCCATCGCTGTGCAGTACAATTTCGAAGCTCTTGTGTTAATTTCTGTGTTCCCTACATTAGAACATGGTGTACTTTTTTTTTCCCTTCACTATAAGCTTTTAACCTAATGGACTGTAACTTCCAGAGATCTATGCCAATCCAGCAAGGAAGCACAAAGCATCCACTCACTAACCTGCCAGAGATCTAGTCCCAAATCTTGAGGCCTCCCAGGCCTATATCAGTGTTGACAATGGGTACTCCATACCTCTAGAGACGCAACAGACAGGCACCATCCCCTGTTGCTATCAATGACACTCTGCCATTCCAAGATCATTGTCTGAGCCCTTTGGACAGGGTTGAAAGAAGAAAACACCATCATCTCTTACAAGGAACAGATAAGACAAAGAAGTAACACACTTGCATTTGTATAAAGTCATTCATAACCTCAGGACCTTCCAAATAAAACAGATGAAACCCAACACAAATAGATTTGAGGTAATACATGCTGGTAGGAAAAATAGGGAGAACGTTCTGAGTGGAGTAAATAAACAAAGTCATCACAGAGCACCATTACAAAATCACTAAAAGTTGCGCCACAGGTTACCAAGGCCATGGAAAATATCAAGCAACTAAGCTTCATTTCTAAAGGGATCTGTAACATGTTATGCTAAACCTCTTTTGAACTTTAGTTGTTTTCTGATCGCCAAATTACGCAAAGGATATGAGTCACTGGAGACATGCAGAGAAGATTTACAGGGGTGATACCAAAAAACTGTGGGTATGCACATAGTGAAAGGATTGACAGTTTGGGTCTCTTTTTGGAAAAGTAAGGCTGACTGATGACCTAATGAATCTCTTCCAAATTATGAAAGCCCTGTCCAATGGAAATGTAGCTAACGATTATCATCACAGTCATGGACCTTGAAAATGAAGGTAACTCAGGAGATTGGCATGTTGGCTCAGTGGTTAACAATGCTGTCTCACAGCACCAGGGACCCATGTTCAAATCCGGCCTGGATGACTGTCTGAGTGGAGTTTGCACATTCACCCCAAGTCTGCGTGTGTTTTCTCCCAAACGTGTGCAAGTTAGGTGGATTGGCCATGCTAAATGTGGATTATGGGGATAAGGTGGAAGGTGAGTCTGGGGAGATGCTCTTCAGAGGGTTGGTGCAGACTTGATGGGCCGGATTGTGTCTTTCTATACTGTAGGGATTCTATGAATCCATGATAACACTAATAGTACTCAGTATAAATGCAAATTTATTCAGTCACATATGTACAATGGCTAATATGTATAATACATTGTGTCTTATATAGGATAAAACAGCATTTTTCTTGAGTCACTATGAGCAGCACCGAGCTGTGTATTTCTAAGCTAAACCTGTAGCTGGCACAGTTCTCCAACCAAAAAACAATTAATTTCTGAATGAACTCAGACGATCAGTGGTCCAACTCACCTTATTAGTATTCAACCCACCAAACAAGCTGGCCCTTGAGAAAACTCAGCATGGACACCAGAGTGGATACCTGGCAAATTCACCCCGCTGCTTAGAATCGTAGAGTCATAGAGATATACAGCACAAACAAACCATTTGGTCCAACCCATCCATGCCGACCAGATATCATGTATAAATCTAGTCCCATTTGCCAGCATTTGGCCCATATCCTTCTAAACCCTTCCAATTCATATACCCATGCAGACGCCTTTTAAATGTTGTAATCGCACCAGCCTCCACCACTTCCTCTGGCAGCTCATTGCATACACACACCACCCTCTGCATAAAAAAAGTTGCCCCTGACATCTCTTTTATATCTTTTCCCTCTCATCTTAAATCTATGCCCTCTACTTTTGAACTCCCCCACCCCTCGAGAAAAGACATTGCCTATTTACCCTATCTATGCCCCTCATGATTTTATACACCTCTTTAAGGTCATCCCTCAGCCTCCGATGCTCCAGGGAAAATTGCCCCAGCCTATTCAGTCTCACCATATAGCTCAAACCCTCCAACCCTGGCAACATCATTGTAAATCTTTTCTGAACCCTTTCTAGTTTCACAACTTCCTTTCCTATAGGAGCCTCGTTATTAGACTATGATCTCAGGGCACACTCTACAGGCACTGGCCACAAGCATCCAATGTCTGTGGACATTAGCGTCCAATTTGTGCCAGTGTTTAAGAGCCCACCTGGCGCATCTGCAGTCACTTAGAGGATGCTTCTGAAATTCCATGCTGTACCATGGTCTGCACCAGCAATTATCGTTGTAATGCAGCAACAGGGAGACTGTTCACTCAGAGACATGTATCCAGCTCATGGACCGAACCAAGCAGTACCTTCATGCTCTTCACTTGCTTTCATAGTACACAGAGTCCCTGCTTTGCATTGATATTGTGCACTTTGCCCCTTTCAGCTATGAATGCCAGGCTCATTATACTCTTGTTTTGCATTCTGTTCAGCACAGACACAAAGGAAGGAAGATTGACATAGTTGTCCGCTGGTCTTGGGGATCTGAGGCCTCAGGTCTCAGCCTTCACTCAGGGGTTCCCAACACAATAAATCAAGGGCACACTCAGATGCCAGACTTGAAAGCAGTCAGTCAGTCAGCCACTCAAGGTGGTCAAGAGTAAGGATGCTCTCAACATAAAGGGTGAGGAACTGAACGTTGGACAGCCCATCACCTGTGTTGAGTCTCTCTACCCTATTGTGGGCTCTTTTCCTCCTGGAATGAAGGAGAGGCAGGCATGAAGGGAGATGAAAGTGGGTGGCAGAACTCAGAGGGCACACAGGGTTACTGGTGTTGGGAGAATGCGATAGGTGAGTGATGAAGATGTTGCAGGCATTAGTGAAAGTGGTAGGGGCTGAGCCTTGGTGGGAGATTGGTACAGTAGCAAAGTGAGTGTGAGATATCAGAGAGAAGATGGTAGAACTTGCCCATGTGGAGTGGAGAAGGACATTGACCTTCCTCCTACAGTGCTTGCGTTCCTTCAGAAGGTGGAGACTGCTTTATCCCAGGTGGCATCCTCGGACCAGGCTGACATTCTCTGGTGATGTGACCTTCACTGCTGGTGCTGGGAAAGAGGACAGCCCACCTTTGTACCATCCCATTCTGCGGGACCTTCAGGCCCCTGACGTCAAGCAGGCCAGCAATTTTCCCTCTGCTATGTTCAAGGCTAATGTCAGGAACAGTGCTAGTCCAGGTGCACAAAGGTCTTTTAAAGATGGCACGGGTGCAAAGGAAGCTGGTGAATTCCAGGTTATCCACTGAGTCATAAGTTGTTTTAGGAACAGTACAATGGGACTGGAATTGGATGTGAGAGATGCCGTAGAGCCAGGGTAAGTTGTTAATGAGGCAAGCTTGGCAAAATACAGCAAGAAAACCCGATGAATTCAAACTTAGCAGAAAGAATATAAGATTCACCCTAATAAGTTTACACAAATCACTCTGAAACGCCTGAATTGAACAAAACTGTTTTTTCCAAAGCCATTGCTCAATCAGCTGTAAAGTTCCCAGCTACATCAATGCCTGTTGCTGCTGCATTGTGTGAGTTTGGTGTGTGTTTTCTCTTGATTTTTTGAAAATAATTTGAAGCAAAACTGTAGAAAGAATTTTGAAAGATTTTATTCCGGTAGAATCTATATTTAAATGCTTCGTTTTTCATTTAGAGAGGAAGTCAGGACAATCAAGAGAGGAATCAAGCAAGATTAATTACAAGACGCATGCTTTCTTTTGTTTATGCTAAGAATTCTTTAGAAAGCCTACAAAAAAATTGTTTATTTTTCCCCTTTCAAATTTCAACGTATGCCGTCCCTCATTCAATAACAGAATTTATGTTTCTTTCTTTTACCAACTAATTTGCAAAAACTATTCAAAGATTAATTTGATATCTTTTTGACCATACATATAATTTTCTTCTTTTACTTATATCTAGCTCTGAGAGACAAGTATAGATGATTCAAGTCAAAAAAACTTGCATTTTTATCACTTGTGCTTTATTTAGTTTCTGCTTAGAACTTTTACACAAATATTATTTAGGAAAAAGATTTAATTACACACATGGGCCAGTTACATCCAGCGAGTCCCGTGACCCAGTAATAAAATTACCAAAGAAATAATAAAAATAACAATTTTCAGCATTTATCTACTCAAGCACAGAACTAGAACGTTGCCATGACCTAGTGCAGCAGCAGGTTAAAATTCAAAAGCCAGGTATGCACTGGAACATGATACAGAAGCCCAAAGCACTTTGCAAGATGATTAAAGTGCAGTTTAATTTTATCAAGTCTTGTTGAAAGGTTTTTAAAATGAAGGACGTGCAGAATATCTGGCTTTATAATCAGAGACATAAGATGTAAAAGCAAGGAAATGATGCCAAATATTT